CCAGAAAATCAGTTGTTCTTCTGCCTCTCGGCACATGTTAGAAATCTCCTGGATTGTCAATTTTTGTGTGCTATTTTAACTTACATGTACCTGTCTTGTTTAGTTGCCACAGTCTGAGTTGTAATAAAAGTTAGCATGAAAATAATTTGTTGTGAATGTGTCTCCACTTTTTTAACTGAAAGTTATGTGTGAGTGCATTATCATAAAAGGAACAGTCCGTGGCGGTGTGCAGCCATACAAATACACACACATTCGAAATTGCACCCATGGGAACAAGGCTAGTCACAGAGGCAGACTCATCGTGTGGTCCAAAATGGGCATAAAAACATGACAAATGTTAAGAAACATCTGCAGAGGTACAGAGAGGAATACAGCAAAGAGTGGCCTTACATACGGAAAGGAGAAATCTTTTGCATTTTGTGTTTATGTAGTTAATGATAGTAATAAGGAACATTTATATTGCGCAGATACTATACAAATATACTCAACTGTGCATAACAATACACATCACTAGCAGAGATGAAAATCAGGTGTTGGAAAAAGCTTCATGAAAGAGATGAGGTTTCAGAACAATCTTGAATGTGTCGACAGATTTAGCATTTCTTACATGAAAGGGCAGTTTGTTCCAAAGCCTAGGAGCAGCACAAATATATGCACGGTCTCCAATAGCTGCCTTAGTTCTAAGATAGGGATCACTAAAGATCAACCTGTCCTGTGAGCTATGAAGACTGTACCTATGTGACTGGTGCAAAGCCATGCAAAGCCTTAAATGTTATCAAAAGTGTTTCAAATGCAGTTCTCTGTTGAATAGGCAACCAATGTAATTTAACCAACAAAGGGGAAATGTGGCAGTATTTAGCAGAGTTACACACAAGTCTGGCACAAGCATTCTGCACCTTTTGTAGCTTTGATATCTGAGAATCGGAAAGTCCATATAATAAACAATTACAATAGTCAACCTTAACAACACTTAATGAATGCTCGAACCAAGGTTTCAGCACAAGTCTGGCTTAAGTATTTCCGAATGTGACGTAGGTTATACAGATGGTAAAATGCACCCCTACAGATATTAGTTATGTGTCGATCCATATTAAGGTGGGAATCAAACTGCACACCCAGGTTTTTCATAGCTGTGGATGGCTGAACTTCAGCAGTTCCAACTGTTATGCTGTCAATGTTTATCTCAGCAAGCTGCTTGGGTGTTTCAACCAGCTAAAACTCTGTTATATTATCACTGAGCATCAGTTCGTTACTAAGCATCCATGAGTGAATGTGAACAATACATTGTTGTAGTGTGGATAGACCTAGGGTCTGTTGATCAGTAGCCGGGTTGAAGGAAATGTAAAGTTGTGTGTCATCGGCATAACAGTGACAAGAGAGTTGAGGAATAGTGTCTCTTAATCATGTGTATCAGGTTACTTGTGTAGAGTAAAAAGAAGAGGACCCAACCAGGAACCCTGTGGGACACCAGATGAAATACCAAATTTTCTGGAAATTACGTCACCTATGACTGTTTGTTGCTGTCTGCCACTAAGATAAGACTCAATCCGGTGTAGGACAGTTCCGCCCATACCAAAGTGGGTTTGCAGTGTATGCAATAAAATGTTATGATCGAGAGTGTCAAAAGCGGCACTTAAATCTAAAAGGACTAGCAAATTCACCTTTTGCTGGTCCATAGCCATGAGGAGATCACTCTTGATTCTCAGCAGTGCAGTTTCCGTGCTATAAAAGCGTCTGTATGCAGACTGAGTGGCAGGTAGCAACAGATTAGAATAAAGGTGTTGAGAGATTTGTTCTGCAGCAGCACTTTCAACAAGTTTAGAAATGTACTGTACATTGCTGACGGGCCTGAAATTAACAAAGTTCAGCTCAAGTCCTGGTTTCTTGAGCAGAGGACGAACTGCAGCCACTTTCCAGTTGGATGAAAACTCACCATTATCTAGAGGCAAATCATTTTTGTGAGAACAGGTATCAGGGTGTCTGTGCACTCTAAAACAAGCCTTGTTGGAACAGGATAGGGAAGACATGATTTTTTGCTTGATTTTAAATCAAGCTTTTTTACATCACATTCAGACAATGGTTTGAATTCTGTGTAGGCTCTCAGTATTGAACCCCCCTTGTGTAGCTGCATATGTGTCCTTGTCAACTGGAGTCAATTCAATAGTTGCATGAATATTGACAATTTTGTCTTAAAAACTTGCCAAGGTCATCAAAAAAATTAAATTTGACCAAGTTAGAAGGCAAGTCAAAATGCTGTTTTGACATGTTCAACAACTATTTTGTAACATTAAACAATTTCTTTTGATCATTGCCATTATCGTGTATTATGTTTGAATAATACATGCAGCGAGCATTGTTCATCACAAAGATTGTTTTGTTACGAGCCAGTTTATACCTTTCATGATCACAAGGCAACTTTGTTTGGACCCACCGTTTTTCTGCTTTTCTCCTTTCTCTCTTTTCTTTCCTGCTTTCATCAGTAATAGTTGTGATATATTCCAATATATTCTGACACATTGGTTCAGACAAACACCATTGCCAAAGGATTGGCCACATGAGGCATTGGTGAATACTTGTGATCAGTGGATGATGATGAAAACAGTGTCAGAGGAGAGAGGTACATTGCGGCATGTTTATTTGAGCACAATTTACCGATAGTCTCATCCCACCACGTCAGCCCTCTATTTTGGCAAATGTTTCCCCATTCAAACATAGATGAAAAATATAGCTGTGCTCGTTCGAAAACGGTGGCAATCGTAAATGTGATGAGTAAAAATACAGCTTCCATAGCTTCCACAGTCTGTAGGTTTTCTTAAATATAAAAAAAATTTTTTTGCATGCTTCAGTATCATTAAATAAGTGATTGATTCATACTCAATTTATTTTAGGCTAGATTTAGTATACTAGAACACTACAGTGACTTTCAAGTATAGTTAGCATACATTATTCTTGTTTCTGCCCTTGTTTTGTAACGTGTGACGTCAAACTTTACAGAAAAAAAGGGAGATGGCACATATGGTGCACCGTAACCATCAACACCACCTGAGTAAGCACTGGGAACAGAGTGTTTTTAATATACAGTAGTCAGTGTTAGGGCAAAGTCCGCAGTAAAAATGATTACATTATGCTTTGCCTGTGTGATGAGCTGCAATCATACCTGCTTTGTGCAAAAGTAGTATAGTGTTCTGTGACGGAATGAATAATTCAATGATGCATGACTGATGACCAACCAATTGGATTATGGAGATTCACTCAGGTGCTGTGTTCAAGCTTTTAGTAAAGAAGTATCACAATAGCAAGGCGACTGGTCTGGGATATTTCAAAATGTTATCATTTTAGATACAGTAAATAAACACAGGTTTGGATCTGAACAGTTCTGAATGCCATATGAAGTGTAATTTGGTGAGAAACCCTCATTTTTGATACCAATAAAGGGAAATCTGACTTTTAGCACATTAATATGAAAGTAGTTCTGACAAATAATTATATCTGTCAAAACTACTTTTATTTATACCAAATTTGCTGTATGTGTTGGTATACAGCCCCATTTTTGTAGGCAAATCCTGTAGTTGAGTTTTTATATTTATATAATTTGTACTCCCTAAATGAAAGATTTATGGGAAAATGGATGGTGGAAACACAATCAATGTCACAAAGTGTAATATTTGGACTCACAAGGCTTAAGGAAATCAAACTTACATATATGTTTAAAATGGCACTTATTTTGTAATGTACGTAATTCCATTTGTTATAGCAACACCTTGAATGTGTTTTTAATAATTTTTTCATTGCTAACCTTATATGCACATTGCTTTCGGATCCAAAATTATGAGGTAAGTAAGGCTGAATTTGCGACCATTTTGTAATTGTCAAGGCGGCAAGTATCTTTTATGAAAAGTATGTTATGATACTGATATGATACCAGAAAAAAGGGTTTGCCACCAAAATGACTTTATTTAGGTGGTAGATGACAACCATGGTGATAAGAAGTTACATGTATACACAGTTCTCTTCGAATCAAAAACATGGTATTTACCATCCAATAGTGTGATGCTCAGGTCCAACATTCTGAAATGCAAAATGGAAGCCACCATCTGATAAGAGTATGTCATCGGAAACTGCTTTAAACCTGTATGATTTGTATTTGTTAAAATCAAAGACCCAGGTTATCCACCCAAATGAAGTGTCCGTGGCATTCAAGTCCAATGTTCATTTTTAAATATTAGTGGTTTCCACTAGGAATATGACATGTATGTTTATAATGTGTTACATTCAGATTCCATGCAATGGTGTCAGAAACAGGGTTTGCCACCAAAATGGACTTCATATTATATTCAGGCCCAAAGTTGTTTGCAAATCAGGTCTGAGTTAGTGGCCCTTTTGAAATCCAAAATAGCAGTTACAGTACACGAACCTCAAATTTTATATTTAACTGTGGTTTGCCTTTAGATCTAGTTGCTGATTAATGTAGAGTCAATATTTGACCTGTCACCACCCCCGTCACTACAAAAACGAGGTGAAAGTCAGAATTTTCAAAAACTGAGATATTGGTATTTTTAATTCAGCATAAAGAGAGCTTTCCAATGGCATTCACATGGAACACTTGGGGTAAAAGTGTAAGGTGATGATGTGGCACTATTCTGGCAGTTTTGCATCTTTGTTCTCAACGTTGTTTCAACATTTCTGACCAGGCACGAATAATGCTATCGTCTGCTGAGAAAATGACATTTTTAAATATGTGATTCTGCAAAATACTTAGAATTAAATAGGATACAGGCTACTCTTTCCAAATATTACCAAAACCCCAAAATTGACCTCCACTTCAGTATAACTTGGAACACTCAGAATAGAAAAGAGTGGGAAGCAACTTTATTCTCATTTTGTCGTGACAGGTCACATATTACCTTTTCAACAACTTAATTCAAAAGTCCCGAATTACCAAATATTGAGTATGGTTTTTGGCATTTCAGTTGAAATTGCGTCTTAATATCTTCTTATAGATGATGTCGACCTGGATGCATTGATCAATGATATGAACACTTTCCCTGCCTATAATGAAGAGCGCCCTCTGTTGGAAAGCATGGAGAACTTGAGCCACCTTCAAGATAGTAGCAGCTATGAATTCTGTTCCAAGAGTGCAAGCCAGAGTGCACTAAATGTGGGTCGTACTATTCCCAAGCCCAAGCTAGACTGGACTTGGAGGAGCAAGTCCACATCAGGCACACCTGTGGTAGAGCATGCCAAGCTAAAACTCAGTACGTCACTTCCAGAGAGACGAGAGCAAAAGGAAGTGGCTGGGGATGATGAGGTACCCAATCCATTTCCAGGCTTGAAGACCATGGGAGTAGGCTCAGCTGTGGTTAGTAACAATAGACCTATGTAGCATATCTAAGGGGTATCCACAGGCTCATTTACAAAAGAATGTTTAAATGTCTGGTATATCTATGAACATGGTAAGAGGCCCTATTTGATGCAGCATTGAGCGCGAGATCAGTTTGTGTACACATAAAGTTTAAGTGTTTTTCTAATGTTTAACTTTAATTTCCCAGGATGCGCAAAATCATATTCATAAATATCTGAGACAGTTTTCCCAATCGTATTTGTTGAGAGCCTATCACAAGGTCTGTCTTGAACAGTTGATAAAGCACCAGCCAGCAATAAAAATTGTCCCTGAACAATGAAATACATCTGTACATGTAATTTTATTTCTGCCCCGCATTCAGTACTTGGGGTGATGTCATAATCTCAAAATCGTTTGTTTTCTATTCAAAAATCTAACATGTTTCCCCAAAAGTCTCAGGGAAAGCTCAGGGAAATTTTTTGGTAATTTTAAACCACTTCCAAATGAATTGTCATTGGAAACCTTACATGGCCATGCATGGGATGTACTAAATATAGATTTTATGCCCGAGCCAAAAATGTTGATGTAAGACGTCATAATTTAGATTTTTTTTCTTAATCATAGAAGATACTTTGTTTTACAAAAGTTGGGATTTGAATCCTCAGAAAATTGGGGGTGAGAAGAATATTATTTTGAAATGATTGTTAAAGAGCAACCCCAATGGTGGTGGAAAAAATGAGAAATACATTTTAATATACTCGCACGTTATCTAAGCATTAAGTTATATGTAAGTGGCATTGTGACTTCTGAATAAATAGTAATAATGTGAGCTGCAGGTTTTTCAAAAACTTTCCACGTTTGTACCATTGGTGGCGCCACGTAGAAATGCTTTTTTGATACGTACCACTGTGGAAACCTAAAAACGTCATGACCTCGCAGAACCTGGTTGCATGGATGTGTTTTCATACAAGGGCCCACATGCCTGAGCTGCACGACCTAGCCTGACACTTTTTTAAATAAAATAACAACAAAAACATTGAAAACATCTGTCCTTCTCTGTGAACTTGCCAAGCCGTATTTATCAAATGATCTTGGTCTCCTTCACCGCCTCGTTCACCAGTTGTGGCCCCAGTCAACCAGTGGGTGGGCAATGGGTTCGGTAAGGCTCTGTGCCTTGGACATGGGACGGTGTATAACTAACTACACATGCATTACAATACAACATGTAATTATGTGCACTGACATGACCGCACCAGCTCGGTGCATACATGCACCAGCTGGAGAACCATTTCCACGGTGCTACGACGACAAAATCCTGGAAAATCTGTTTTCATGAGATGTAAATGAAGCAGTGATGACACACTCCTTTCGCGAAAGCTAGCCATCGCGCTTGGCAGAAATGGGTATTAAAAGTGATTTTTTTTAAACCAAAAATATTGCTGAATCTGGGTTTATGTGGTATAGATGTCTATAATGGAATCCAAGTAAACATACTGCAGCCAGATTCCATATTTTGTTCCACCGTTGGGGTTGCTCTTTCAATAATTTGTAATTGAAACCTTTAAAAAGAGCTGTAAATGTTTACTTTCTGACTGAGCTTGAAAAGTTAAGATGAACTGCAAGCATGCCCGTGCACCAACATATATGGCTGTTTAATGTGCCTCTTGGTTGAAAAAGAAATAACCCAAATTATCAAAGCAAGTCATTTCCAAATTTCACAATTGTCAGGTTAATTTGATGGCCTATCCATCCATTTTGTTTAAATACAATGCACAGGTGTTAACAAATATTTTCAGAACACATTTTAATTTTCTTGCCGAGCAACTCTTTGGACTTCTAATGCCAATAACGGCTATTGCATTTTTCTCTCATGTAAATCGGGTGAAGGCAGAAGCAAATTATTTGACGGTGGACTGTGGACTACTGTGGACTGTGAACATGAACAGGAAAAAAATTGCAAAAAGTGGTGAAAGGGCAAAATTTGTGAATAAAAAAATCAGGATTTTTGCTGAATTTTGCGTTATAGTACTTGTTCATTATTAAAATTGCAGGGTGTAGGCCGGTTTGTACATGTACTTTATATTTAAAAGTCAACACTTCCCTCTCTGATATAGGGATGGGGAAATGAGAAAGACCCTTGGGTGGCTGTTCTCCTTGTTACCATTAAATATGACAACAAGAGGCATACACTTATGTTTAGACGTGTGATTGTGGACACGTGTGATTATTGACATTTCAAAGGGGGGGATGGGGAAGGAGGCACCTTTCAAAGCTACATTTGTACATGTTAATGTAATTGTTTTTGTAGGATTCAACTTCCAAACAGATTTTGTATTCTATTACAGTAATTGATGGCTTTGAGTACTTATGTTATATATTTAAATATGTTTTGGATTTTTCACCCTTTAGGAGAACTTGTACATTGCACAGAAAAGCAAGGACAAGTTAAGTCTGACAAACGGGGACCAGAGTGAAGTGCCTCAGGTAACATCAATTCGTAAATTAAAACTCAAACATCAGTTTTGCATAAGTTAAGATGCCTTAGGCAAACTTATCTTTTTTCAGAGTTGAGATTTTTTTTAAAGGAGGCTGTGTTAGAAGCTGCAATATACAGTACATGTATGTGAAAAAGAAAATGCAGTTCTGAACTGAGATCTTCAACTGTCCTGTGTCAGTGCCTTATGCATATTGTGCATATAAAGTGAACAAATGGTGCCTTGCCTCATGACAACAATGACGTCAATGTCATCTGGCTATAAAGTGTGGTATAGCTTCCCTCTCTCCCCTTTTTAAAAATCTCTGATGGTTGGTTTTATTCCCCAGTTTGTTATCTCCCTTATGGCATGGTTGGTTAGTGAGTTAAAGGAACCGGGAAATTAATTTTTCTTAGAATCACTTTTTGTGTACATGTATCTCTGTACTCTTTTGCCATATGTGAAGACTGTTTGACATCTTGTTTGAGTTTCTTTAACTGAACGGTGCACTTTTTCAAACATTAAAACTTGACCAAGCATTTCTGGACAAGTTAGGTCGCTTTTACTTTGATGTACATGTAAATCCAGGAAGGCATGGTTCAGGTTGCATGGTTTCATGCTAAAATTGTGAATCCCAAATTTGCTATCTGGGAACATTTCTGTGAGAAGGATTTTTGCTGGATTATTGTCATATACTTACACAGCAATAAACTGCCAAAGAAAATAAAAACTGCCGCAGCAGTGTTTTTTTTTTCTGTGCACAAATCAGTGTAACATTGAGATTCAGTGCCTTGGATGACATCATAGTTCTGCTCATGAAAATGCAAATATGCATTAGCTAAAACTAAAAAGCATCAAAATATGGGTTAAATTACAAGACAAAAACTTAAAATCAAGTTAATTTAAACCCAAAGCTGCAATTTTAAGGGTTTTTAGAAAATTTATAAAAATATTTCTATTTCTTGGTTCCTCACCACTGTGGTCATGGGTTTGATTCCTGGTCTTGGCTTTGTGTGAGTTGTTCATTACTCTCTGGTTTCCCTGCCTCTCCAAAAATAAATACTTATGTATACATTCTCTTGGTGCACTCTATGGGAACATGTGGATTATACAATGTATAGCAGCTTCCTGCAGCACCTTTACATGCTTTTTGTTCAATCACATTGTAGATCTAATTTAGTGTGTCTTTATGTGCTGAGAATTCATATCATGAAATTAATAAGTCTACTGCCTGCAACCTACACTGATTACCAATACATACTATATGCATTATTTCCTAGTCCATTACCCCATTCACAAAGTTCTCGATCACCCGGCAGTGCGCCCTGACTCGCTCATCAACTCCCACACAATTAGCAGCCGCTATGATGTTCTTTTTTTTTAAACGCCTTTACTAACAGACGTATTTATGTCCAGCTGTGATTTTTTTTAAATTTTTGTTGGCTTTTCTGCGTAGTTATGGAAAAGCCTTTCGTTTTGTTCTGATTTTCTTTTTTACTTTTTCACAACTTAGCGAAAAAGACATGCTTTTTGTCTCATTTTCTGCTTTTTCGCAGCTTAGCGAAAGAGACATTCTTTTTCTTCTTTTTTTTTCTTCCTTCTTCCTCTTCTGCTCAAAAGTCCAATTTTTGTATCAGGGTCTATGTTGCATGTAACTTTGATGATAATTGAAGTTGGCTAAATTAGCAAAATGGTGCCTGGAAAACATGTACAAAGTCAATGTGCTAAAAACCCCTATACAGAAAAACAGCTCCTTTTAACTCATGTCATGTGAATTGCGTTTAAACTGGACAAAAAACTATGAAATATTACTTGATATTTTGACTCTTGAGTTTATTTGTAATCGAACAAAAGGGAAAATTTTGTCTGATTTCTCTTTCATTCTGGTAGTAATTCTCAGTCGAAGTTGAGGACTATTAAAGTCATTAGTGTTAAGTAGAAAAACGTGAACAAACCCTATGGCAAAAATTTGAAATTAAACATCCACGCGACAAGTCCAAGCACCTGGCTCTGGAGGAAGAGATTTCAGCATTACTATGCAAACGAGCCATCATGCCGGTGCACCCACCAGCTTCCTCTCATCATTTATCTTGATAACCAAGAAAGAACTGGGAAAATGGCGACCAATAATCAACTTGAAACTGCTCAACAAGTTCATCAAGCCAAGACAGTTTCAGATGGAGACCTTGAGCGTGGTCCTACACTCCCTACCAGTCCCGAGCTGGGCCACCTCCATAGATCTACGGGAAGCGTATCTCCATGTTCCGATACACAAGCAGGAACCCCAAGGGTCTTCACCAGGATCACCAAGACTCTTGCTGCAAAATTCAGAGGCCTATATCTCCTGAAATACATGCCTGATCAGGATGAAACTTTTTGGATATTTCAAAAGGAATGTACCAAAGACAAAAATGGACAATTTGTGATGATGACGTCATCTGGTACCAAGTCATGTGACTTTAAATGCACACTCTTGAAAGCCCTATATCTCCTGAAGTACATGTACGTATCCAATCTTGTTGAAACTTTGCAAATAATTAGAAAGGGCAGCAATATAGACAAAAATTGCCCCCATGTGATGATCATGTCGTCAGGTGGCAAGTCATGTGACATTAAATATGCACTCTTAAAGCCCTATATCTCCTGAAGTACGTGTCCCATTGGGTCGAAACTATGCAGATAACTAGAAAAGAAGGGGTTATATATGAAAATTGACCACATGTGATGATGATCTCATCAAGTAAGAAGTCACGTGACATTTAAAGGTGCAGTGTTTAAAGCCCCAATATCTCCCAGAGGCCATATGCGATTGAACTTTCCAGATCGTTGGACGAAAATAATGTGACATTTAATGCACAAATGCACATATTCCATCTGGATTAATTTTCGCAGATAATTAGAAAAGAGAAATGTTATAGATGAACATTGACCTTGTGATGACAATTCACATGACATTAATACATGTACATATATTGCATTCTTTGAAGAGCTATATCTCCTGAAAGACATGTCTGATCAGGTTGAAACTTTAAAGATACATGTATCTAGATGTAGATCTGTGATAGACAAAAATTTACTTCATGGGATGATGACGTCATGACGTTGAAAAGTCACATGACATTAAAGGTGCATCCTTTACAGCCCTGTATTTCGTAAAGTAAACATTGCAGCAGGCTCAGGGTGAAAATTTGCAGATACATGTATCTTTAAGGGGATGTGTATTAGACAAATTTTTTTTTATTAATTCTCTCCCAAAAAGCATACATATTTTTGGTTCCAAAATAAATATGTATGCAGATGACACTGTTTTGCTGTTTGACGGAACATCCTCCACGATCATCCACAATGTGGAAGCTGGCCTGGAACAAATTAGCTTATGGCTACAGAATCACAAGTTAACATTGAATGTGTGTAGTATGCGCGGGGTTGCGCTGATGGGTGCTATACCGATGACACATAGTACATCACAGTCGAACAAAACTCAGAGAATGGCAGTTCAGACCTTCAGGAAGTTGCTGATTTATTTACATGATCTTATTCAGATTCCATATCAAATCATCACATTCATGTTCCAGGGGAGAAGGCAAGTAAGGCTGCACCAGCTGTTACTCTACTCCATTCCGAAAATGGAATCGGGAAAAAGAGACCAAAAACTTTTCCCTTCTCTCTCCCCAGCTAGCTACACGTCAACTCCCCTCATATCAACTTCAAGACATCACGCACGTCATGCATGCTCTATACATGTACATGTCACACAAAAGCCAAAGGTCAAACAGAAATGGCACGTACCCCTCCACTGCATGGATACAAGGTCTATTTTTTGAAACGGTATGTATACACGTACATAGCTGCCAGCGCGGTTAACTTTGGGCATTAAACTTTTCCAAGAGACGAGCGCCCTCTATTGGTCATATTTGTGAATTATGGGGCAAAATCAGATCTAATCGTTCCCCTACATGTGGACAAAACAAAGTTTATGATATTTGGTACACAATCTCGATTGTCTTGTCTTGATGACCTAACGATTTCACTGGAAGATGAAATGATTGAACGTGGGTATATAACTATCTATGCGTCATATTGGACGAAAATATGTTGTGGCCTAATCACGTAGACTACATTGCTAAGAAAATCTCTCAAAAGTGGGGATTTTTCAGACATTCTGCCAAACCCAACATCCCCACCTCCACTTTTAAAGTCTTAAGTACTGCTATGGTTCTGCCGTTATTCGATTATTGTAGCATTGTGTGGTCTGGGTGTGGATGCACGAAAACTGAGAAGCTGGTAAAGTTATACAGTCGCCTCGCCAGATTGATTCTAGATGCTAATTCCAGATCACACGTTGCAAAACTGTATGAGGCTCTGTCGTGGTTGACACTTCCCCAACGCTAGCATAATCACAGAATGTATGAGGTAGACAAGTGTGTTAAAGGATTGACCCCGAAATGATTGTCGGCTAATTTTAACGCACCTGTGCATAAGGTCAGCACCCGGTCATTATCTAATGGCTCTCTTAGCATCTTATTTACACCTAAGTCTAACGCAGGTAAATGTACCTTCCAGTGTCCAGGGGTATTGGGATGGAACCAACTAAAAACTTCTCAAAGACAGGCCAAACACTTTCTATTTTTAAATCACTTTTAACTTAACACCGAATGTATGTGTTTATTTATGTTCATTTTCAATATTTTATATTGTTTCCGATCAAATTTATTATTAGTTGTTTTACTTTATTATTATTTTATGTAGTTTTAGTTGGGCTTCCCCTTGTTTCTAAGGGGCACCTCTATATAGCCTACTTTTGCCATTTGTGGAACCTTTTCTTTTCTTTTTATGATTAATTTAATTATCAATCAAATCAAATCGTAGCCAATGTATTATGCTTACCTTCTGGGTGACTTCACTATTATTATACTTTAGTTTTATCATGTTATATTCTATTATATTTTAACAGTTTTTATGTTCAATTTTAACCTTATTTTATGGATCAATTTTAATGAGCATATTTTTGTCGTATTTTTTTGTTGATTTTGTTTCTATATATAAACAGGGCCCTTAGGAATAGCAGTTCTTTTCATAACTGATAAAAACAGATAAAAATAACAAAATTGACGTCATCAGATGAAAAGTCACGTGACATTAAATATGCATCATTTAAAGCTCTATATCTCTTGTAGTACATATCCCAGCTGGTTGAAACTTTGCAGATATCTATAAGGGGGTGTGTGATAGACAAAAATTGACCTCATGGGATCATGATGTCATAGGTCAACAAGTCACATGACATTAAAAGTGCATTCTTTAAAGCCATATAACCCCAAAAGTACATGTCCCAGCAGATATGCAATCAGGAGGGTCCCGAAACAGCTCTGTGTTTGTCCACAAACACATCTCATTGGCTTTTCCGCAAGTTGTAGAAAAGGCATTCTTTTTGTTCTGATTTTTTTTTTCTTCTTCTTCCTCTTCTTCTTCTCCCCAAAAGGCTATTTAATGTGTGCATGTTTTTTCTGGCCACCAATTTAGTGCCTAAACAACTTCTGAATGTCATTAAACTTAAACCAATGAAGGACCCGTACGCATAGATGTGCATGGAAGCATGACGTCATGATGATGTCATGATGACGTCATCAAGTGATTTTTTTAATAGATTTTTCAATATTTTTTTTGGCCCATTCACTTTGTATACGTTTTTGAGGCACAGTTTTGGTCACTTAGCAATCTTCAATCATTATCAAACTTACACCCAATGACGACCCACATCCAAAGTATTTTCCAAATTGATGACGTCATCATGACCTCATCATATGATTTGTTATGCATTTTTAAATCTTTAATTTTCCCCATAGACTTTGTAAATAGATTTCAAGTTGCAATATTTTCAGCTAGCAGACTTGAATCGATCTAAAAGTTAATCCAAGCACATGATCAGGCAAATATTCTACCAAAATAGTGACGTCATGATGAAGTCATCATGTAAATTATTTTGAAATGTTCAATCTTTATTTTTTCCCATAGCTTTTTGTACACAGATTTGAAACGGCTACATTTACTAAACTACGCGTCCGATCGGGTTGAAACCTTGCATGTATCCACAAAGGGATGTGTTTGAGATGAAAACGGGCATGATGTGTTGACAATGTCATCACGTGACAGGCACATGACATTGAAGGGGCGCTCTTTAAAGCATTACATTTCCTAAACAGAGTCCCTATTGCTTTGAAACCTTGCGTTTATCTTGAAAGGGACGTGTTATAGATGAAAAGTGACATTATGTAATGATGCCGTAACCACATGACCATGCAATCACGTGACATTAAAGGGGCATTCACTAAGTGTTCTTTCTAAACTACATATATGTAATTGGGTTAATCGAAAGCTCTCATTTACACGTTTTTAAAAAGTGTTACAGACCTAAACCAACATGATGTGCCGATGATGTCATCATTTGACTGGTCACATGCCATTAAAGGGTATTCTAAAAATAACTACATCTCCTAAGCTACATACCTGATCAGGCTGAAGCAGTTAATTTGAGAAGTTTGTAGTTGTGGACGATGTGGAAAAATTGGCCTACATTATAACAAGTGTTAGGACGGGTCACTTTCTGATTGACCAATTCAGAATTTTACATACTTCTTAGATCTGTATCGGCAACCAGGTCCCTCATCGGTTATTAACGACAAGTTTATACACGCTCCACCACACTTTTATTCCCTTATTATTAAAATCACTATATCTTCCAAACTACATGTCAGACTCGGCTGAAACCTTTCATCTATTGTATCTATAAATGCAAATGTTTTAGTCAAAAACTCACACGATTTGCAGATGACATCATCATATGATCAGTCACATGAACATCATCACTATATTACATAAACCAAAGTTACACTGATAAAACATTCTCTGTTGAACATTCGTTTTAAATTATATTCACTGACTAATTTTTTGCCTTTACTTTTCCAGTATACACAAATTGTTCAAAATTGCAAAACAATGCGAAAAAGCCCTCTGTTCTGTTGGCAAACAGACAGATAAGCTCTAGTTTTTCTTCCTTCTTCTTCCTCTTCTGACAAAAAGTCCATTTGTTATGTGCAAGTTTTTTTCTAGCCACGACTTTGGTCTGTTAGCATCTTTGGATCTTCATCAAACTGATGGTCCTAGAACAATGATGTCATGATAACGTTGTCAAGTGATTTATCATTGATTTTTCAATATTTATTTGAACCCTTTGACTTTGTACACATTTTTGAGACATCATTTTGGTTACTCAGCTGTCTTCAATGGTTATCAAAGTCATACCAAGGAAGGAACTCGAGACAAAGATAATACTGAAATGATGATGTCATCAAGTGATTTATTATTGATTTTTCAAAGTTTTTATTTCAGCCCCATTGACTCTGTACACGTTTTGAAACCAATTGACTTTGTACATACATACAAGTGTTGCCTAAGCGTTTGCATGCGCATGTCCATTGCGCTAACAGCTGATCTGCTCGATCGGTCTATGCAAGCGTTCACACAGTCTTATTGCATTAATTCACTCAAAAGTTGTGAAAAAATTGTTGCAAAATATCAAGAGAAATGAACTCTGAGATTTTGTGTCATCAGGCCTCAACCAATTGCTTAAAGCAGTACTCAACACCAATCATCGATGCATGTATCGACCATTTGCGCGGTACCTCACATCAACACATGGATTCAATCGGGAAGACGTTTTCAACAGGCCCATGTGTTTTCTTAGGACCTCTTCATGCTCTTGGGACCTCTCGGACCTGAAATTGCATGAGTTGAGTTCTTAATGGACTTTGCTTGATCAGAGGATTCCAAGGTAATCCCACGAAAGCTGAACTGAAACCAAATTCATGAACCGGTGGAAGAAATTGCACAAGGAGTTGACACCGAATAGGCATGATCACTCGTGAGCATGGGTTCACCGAGCCCATGCTATGCTTGCCGAGCCCAACAAGCAGACGTACCTGCGGCACGGCAGGGAGCTGGGTTTGGAAGCTGGCCTTGGATGAAGTGCTAGAACCGGTAGGCAAAACATTCTCAATTGCAACTTTTTGGCTGCTCTTTCTGTGCTCTGTAGCTCCGTACAGTGATGTTAGGGGAAAGAGAACTGACCCAAATTAGCTCTGAATTTGCACTGACACAACTTGAACTCTAAAAAGGGCCTGTTTTTAGCATTTTGATATGGTCACCCCGATCATGTCCAAATGATAAAAAGGTGATTAACAGTGATTATGTATGTCATACTTGTTCAGCAGAATCCAGACATCAACTTCCACATATTCATTAACTCCCTCCTGAGTAGATGTATTTTTTCAAAGACAAATCTAATCCGGATGGAGCACAATACATACTTGTACATTTTCAGACATTTCACAGGGGTGCTGAACATAGGCATGGAACTGACTAAAGTCCCTCAAAACACTCACAGTGCATTCTTTATTTCATATCTATGACCTCCTCCCCCGAGGAAAAACCCATGCCATTATGGGTTCATGATAAATATCCAAACATGTATGAAATTTGAATGTAGACCTATAATTATTTTTGTAAGCTATTTATACAGAATAATTGAATTTCCTTATTTGCTTTGTGTGTATAGGTATCCTTCATACTGCAGCTGGAGTGGAAGCTGGAGAATGGAGATAAATCTGTTTTCCATGTTATTTCTGAATATTGGAATTCAACGTAACTGCAGTTACAGGCAGATATTAGAGGCACGAGTACCAACGATAAAGGAAGCTGCGTGCAATAAAGCACGGAAATTAACAGGTGATAGGGAAAAGGCCCACTGTAGCATTGACATCCAGACAGATTGCCAGTCATTAATCAGTTTGTGTGTGTGGGGGGGTGACATCCATGTACCATCATGCCCGGTCCCCCACTCTAACATTCGGGTCCCCATGTACTCCCCATTTAGTGAGAACCCAAGGTTGCTATACCAATGAATGCGTACATGTGTACATGTACGCCTTTTTTTTTTTCAAGTTCTGACACAAGTTTTGCCATGCATCAACACAGAAACTGCTGCACCTGTAATATTTAAATGTTTTCCTTTTGCAATGATACAAATGTTCACCACCACAGACATAAGGGCAGTCTTCACACATGTCCCTGGTATTGTTGATATGGAAGTGCAGTTGAAGCAGGACGGATCCTGAGAAGGGTGGGAACAGCTTCTTCAAAATATTCATAGCAAGACTGCAACCGACAGGAAGTGAGATTTACTTGTACATGTAACCACTATAATTTATTGAAAGACAGTGGCAAATATAGTTCAAACTGGTTTTGGCAGAATTGTGCAAAGTTATCAGTGAAAAGATATTTTCAACTGGTCCCCATGTCATTTGAAGTCTCTGCAGATCTTCAGAACAGAAAGAAGTTGGCAGGTTTAATATTATACACTTCAGAAAAATGCCCTAAAACATGAAGGCAGTGTGTTTCCTTCATTGTTTCAAAACGCCCAATGTGCATATTTCTTGTTATTCCCCCAAGACAAAACCATGTTATTACTAGTTCACTGTGTTTGATTATCTACGTGTTGATATCAGCTGAATATTTCAATTTCCTTATTTGTTTCTTGTGTATAGACATCCTTCATGCTGCTGCTGAAGTGAAAGCTACAGATGATAGTTCTCCATGTTTGGAATTCAGCATCACTGCAGTACATGTAGATCAGATGCACAGCTACCTACAATAAAGGAAGGTGCTGTACAACGAAGCAAAGAAATTAAAAGGTAATGGTGAAAAGGCTTACTGTTGCACTGACATATAGATTGCCAGTTTTGATTACTGCAGTCATGAAGCAAAGTTTGTGAGTTTGTTTTTGCATTCAATTGGGAAACCTAAATAAGTCCCCGATTCACAGAGCATCCCAGATTGCCATTTGTGTACAAAACGTATGGTTCGTCTTCTAAAAAAAGTTCAAGTACAAACAAACAAGGAACAATAGGGGCTCCTCATTGTACGCACTTGTGGGTGTGGATGTGAGTTAGTTTCTGCATTCAATTGGGGACCCTGAACAATAGAGGACAATAAGGTCCCCGATTGACAGAGGATCCCCGATTGACAACTGTGTACAAAACATATGGGTGGTCTTCTAAAAAAGTTAGTATACAAACAAAAGAGGAACTATAGGGGGTCCCCAGTTGCAGGCAAATACACACTTGTGTGTGTGTGGGGGGGGCATCCATGGACCGCCATCATAAATGGTTCCCTCATCAGTACCCACTTGCCCAGTCCCCCACTTTAACATTCAGGTCCCAACGTACTCCCCATTCAGCGAGAACCGAAGGTTGCTCTATGTCAGTGATTTGTATTGTTGCTCAAGTTTTGGCATCAGTTTTCCTTTTACAATGATGCAGATTGTAATCAGCGCAGACATGAATATGGTCTTCATCAAAGTACTCATAACAAGATTATCTGAAAACTGCAACTGACAGGAAATTATTTGCTTTGCGTTATAGGTATCCTTCACACTGCTGCTGAAGTGACAAGAGATAAATCTATTCTCTACGATGTCGGTTTAAGGGATTGGAATGCAATGTCACTCTGTGGTGCATATCAGAAGCACGGCTACCCAAGATGAAGGAAGCTGTTGGACAGCCAAGCAAGGAAGAGAACAAGGTAATTAATGGTTAGAAGGCCTGCTGTTGGATATTGACACACAAGAGCTGGCCAGTTTGGTGAATACAGTTGTGAAGCAAAGACAGGAGGGGCACCCATGCATGTACTGATGCAATCACTAAATGATCAACATCCATGTGTCCAGTCTACCACTGTAACATTCCTACTCATATGTAGCCAAGTGATATCAAAAGTGCTGAAAGTTCTTACACCTTTTTTCCATTCATTGACACATAACTGACACACAACGAATAAATATTTCCCTTTTTTTTAGATGACGCAGAGGAATGTTTACCAGCATCATACGTGAAGGAAGTCTTTGGACATGTTGCTGTGATTGATGGAAATGCAATTTGTACCAAGACTGGTCTACAGAAGGACTTCATTAAAATATCGTGATATCTGAAAAAACAAAAATGCAACCAATAGGACATGAGATATGCATGTGTACATGTCCCTGGAATATTTTTTCAAGATTTCTGCAGAAATTGTGAACACATGGAACTGGGTTCGGAAGCAGTATCCGAAGTTTTCAAAAGTCACAAGTTCCTGATATTTTAAACCTGTTCCCAAGTCTTCTTAAGTATGTATGGCATAAAAAATTTCACGGGTCGTGAAATCCCCTAAGTACAAATGCAGATTTCTTTATTTTCTGTTATAAATAGTGAGGACACTTTTAACATTCTTCAACTCTCAATTTCATTGTTTAATATTTCGAGTGTAGTTCTTAACAAATTCCATAATCAGAGTTTGTGCTGCTGTGCACTCGCAGATACCTGTTAAAAGTAATCATTTGTGCAGTTACTTTCAATAGGAAATAAGATGTACTTTTGAAAGAATTGTGTGAAACTGATGTTCGCATTATTTTTCTTGCTGTCTTTGAAAGCGACGTTTCTTCGTTTGTGTATTTCGATAGCCCTAACAGTCCCAAATCCTCTGGTGTTAAGATGATTTTATATGGTCACTTTTGCAAATTTGTACACCGTACTGTAGCAATTCCTCGTTCCGGCAATCAAATCCCTCACAAGAAAACTGATGTGTGCCCTCACTTGATGAAAATCTACATTTTGTATTAACTGACTGATAATTTCCCTACGTTTGACCTTATTTTCGACAGGGATGAGGCACAAAAGTACGGAGTAGATTGAATGAAGCATTCGCATTTGAAATAACTATTCGCTAAATCATTTGTTGTCCATTATTCTTTCAAGTAGGCAAGTGAAACGTGTTTGTATCTGAGATCCCAATCAAGGTCATCTTATTCCAAACAGATATTGCAGACATGTTGATTTTTTTGTCTCACGTACAAATTAAACTGATTTGAAAGTCTTGTATAAAGTTTGTGAAGTCTGTTGTCAGTTCAATTTGTATGTGCATTATCAAGAGTGTAGTGGCCCTTCCTTCACTTGATAAAACTAAACATTGTCTATTAATTTTGTCAATCATCAACACAGCTTGAAAGGGACGTGTTATAGATGAAAATTGACGTCATTAGATGAGAATTAAGGCACGTGACATTAAAGGTGCAGTCTTTCTTCACAACCACAAAAAGGCAAAAAAGCCCCGTGTTCTGCCCGTTGGACAGAAGCAGTTCCTCTCGTTTTCTTCTTCTTCTGCTCAAAACCCATTTATTTTGTGCACATTTTCTTCTGGACACCACTTGAGTGCTTTTACAACTGCGGATCTTCATCAAACTTGCACCAATGAAGGACCCTTATCCACGGATGGTCCTTGAAATACGACGTCATGATGATATCATCAAGTGATTTATTATTGATTTTTCTATATTCATTTCAGCCCATTAACTTTGTACATGTTTTCAAGGCAACATTCTTCAGCAATATTCAAATGTCATCAAAGTTACACCAAGGAAAACCTCGAAGCAAAGATAATACTAAAATAATTATGCCACAATTACATCATCAAGTGATGAATTATTAAATTTTGAATAGTTAAATATTATGTTAATTATTTAAATATCCATATAAACTTAACTGCGGATTCGTGCAACATTCTGTTTGCGGCAAGTGCCAAGGTAAAATTGGGTTTTCATTTTATCTGGAGTGGGTCAAGTCACATGACCCTTCCAGTCGAAACCGAATGAACCAAACCTAAAGAATGATGTCACAATGACGTCACCAAGTGATTTATTATTGATTTTTAAATATTTATTTCAGCCCATCGACTTTGTATTGTTTAATAGCAGTAATATGCATCAAGTTGTTTTCAACATTGTTAGTCTGTTGGGGTATAGTATTCTTCAAATCATCTACTGATGACGTTACGTAATTGTTGAGCACCCTCTAGCAACAGGTTAAAAATTATGCAAAATGAATTTTTAATAGATGTCTGTGGCGAAGTTTGTCTGAATCGCCTGAAAATTGATGTAGATGATCATCTTCACCCAGTCAACATGAGTGAAATTTGGGACTGATGACGTCCTCATACCGCAAGTCATAATAAAAAGTCCTTTTATTCTTCACAATTTGGTAAAAAATCAACCGTAACAGATTTGAGCGTGAATTGTTCATGAGATGATAACTACAGCATTGAAGTCAACTGCATGAAGTGCATAAGTGCTGTACGTTGTGCTTCACACAGATGAAGCGCTGACGACAAAACCCCCTTACAATATTTGCAAACTCAAAAGTCCCATTGGCATAGTGTGCATTGGCTACTTCCAGTCTGGTTGACAATATTTGCCTGTAACACAGGCAGTGTAGGGCATATACTCAGGAGCTAGCAAAATGCCAAGCACATGGTGCTGAGAGCAGATGGAATTCCATGGAATGACAAAAGGGAAAAATGTTTGCAATCTCCAATCTGTACCCTTTCTGCGAAAACAGTAATATTTTGTATTGTATTTTTTATTGTACATGTCTGATTAGGTTCAAACATTGCAGATAGTTAGGAAGGGAAGGTTTATAAATGGAGATTGACATCATGCAATGACAATATCATCAGCAGACGAGTTACGTGACATTAAACGTGCATCCTTTTAAAAGTGATCATCTCCTGAAATGCATGTCTGATTCAGTTGAAACTTGGCAGGTATTTAGTAAGCAAAGTGTTACAGATGAAAGTTGACGAAATGTGATGATGACAGGTGCACTCTTCAAAGCACTATATCTCATGAAGTACATGTCCAATTGGATTCAAACCAAGCAGATATTTTGAAAACGGAAGTGGGCTTATTGTTTAAAAGTGGTAATAGGTATCAGCTTTCAATGGTGTTAATCTGTTGGGGTATAGTATTCTTCAAAGTATCAGCTGTTGATGTCACATAATTGCTGAATGCCCTCTAGCGATGGGTTGAACATTCTGAAAAATGAATTTTGAAAATATGTCTGTGGCAAAGTTTTTCGAAATCGGCTGAAAATTGATGTGGATGATGATCTTGACCGAGTTAACATGTGTGAAAGTTGGGGCTGATGACGTCATCAGATCAGAACTTATAAAAAGTCTCATTATTCTTCAAAACTCTGTTAACAAATCAACTGTAAGAGAAGAAGTGTGAATTCTATAATAAGATAGCTGAAGCATTGGAGTCTATTGCACCAAGTGCGTAACTGGTGTACTTCACACAGATGAAGCACAGACGACAACAACAACCTTACAATATTTGTGAACTTGAAAATCCCATTTGCATACTGTGCATTGGTTACTGTGTGTGTTGACGAGCAAAATCTGCCTGTAACATACATGTAGGCAGCACACAGTGTGTAGGGTGTATACTCAGGAGCTGGCAATTTGTCAAGCACTTGTTGCTGAGAGCAGATCGCATTGTATGTAATGCCAAAAGGGACAAATGATTAAAATTTCTAATCTGTGCTCTTTCCACGATAACAATAATGTTCTCTATTGTATTTTGTATTGTAAATGTCAATATCATTAGCAGACGAGTCATGTGACATTAAAGGTGCATTCTTTAAAGAACTATATCTCCTGAAGTGCATGTCCAATTGGGTTGAAACTTGGCAGGTATTTAGAAAGGGAAGTGTTGTAGACAAAAAGGATGCGATGATGATATCATCAGATGAGTCAAATTACATTTTATTTAAAGCACGTTATTTCCTGAAGTGTGTGCTTGATTGACTTGAAACCTTGGACCCAAATGGTCATGATGAAATAGTTACATCATCAGGTCTGTGCAGTAGATTGGTCATTCGAATTAACAAAGGAATGCAAACAAAAAATCTGGCAAACAGACAGATGAGCTCTAGTTGTATATTTTGCCCTAGTGCCCTTGTGTATAATTTCTCCGTTTTTCTGTGCATTAGGTCTTAGATCATAAGATATTTCACACTTTACCCCTCTTCTAGTAGTTACACTCACATTGTGGGCCGGTTCATAGGGACAGTGGTGTGGTTCAGTCCTCGCGAACTCCAGGAAAGGACGATGCATTTAAGGTTACCATTTCCTTCCCTACAGTGGGCCTTCCCGTAGTTGTCACGATGGACACTTCAAATTTCGGCTGGGGAGCCAGCCTTCGTCCACATCAGATCTCCAGTCAGCGTGACCCCTCCCTCCAGGATTCTCATATCAACATTCTCAAACTCCATCAGTCTTCGATGTTCTCCTTCAATTTCAGTTGATGCTAGTAGGCAAGACAGTCCTAATCCAGTCAGACTACGCTACAGCCATTGCCTACATCTATTGCCAAGGGAGCACATGCTCTCCTAGTCTATAGCTCTTTGCCTGGCGACTGCTTCAATGGACAATACGATACCCCATCCTGATTTTAGCCGAACACATCCCGGGATACAGAACAACTTCACCTACACCCTCTCCCAAGGCCTAGTTCACCCAACGGAGTGGACACTGCAGCCGTAGGTGGTTAAAGCTCTCTTCCTTGTGACCGACAGGCCTCATGTGGACCTCTTTGCATCTCACCTGAATGCTCAACTTCCCACGTTATGTACTTGGTACCCACACCCACAGGCCTGGGCGACCAATGCCCTGTGCATCTCCTGGGAAGGTCTCTTTGCCTATGCCTTCCTCCTCCATCACTCATTCTGATGGTGCGGTCAAAGATAAAAAGGGAATGTTGCCATGATCTTCTCATTGCCCCATTCTGGCAGAGACAGCCATGGTTTCCCTGCATCGTCAGACTCCTATTTGCAGCCCCCGATATTACCTCAGCATCCAGACCTGCTATTTCAGCCCATTTCCTGCTGCTCTCATCTGGACTTGCTTCACCTACACCCAATGTGTTGGATATTGTTCATTGATCCTTTAAGCAAGCAGGCCCTTCTTGAGACGCTGCTGCCTTGGCTGCCAGAGGTAGGCAGCTGTCCACAAGGAAAATTTATGGCAGCTGAATACAACATTTCAACTCTTGGTACAGAAGGCATGATACAGATCCAACTGAATCTCATCTGTCCCTCGTGACAGAATTCTTTATGCACCTACTCCGTTCCAGCCTTCTCGTTTCTACAATCAGGAATTACCACTTGGCACTGGCAGCTACCCACTTCAGCTTCTCTGATGGATCTTCTGTTTCCAATTACTCAGCAATTCATCACCTTTTCCGGGAAATGTTCATAGAACACCCTTCAACCAAGCAACTTGTTCCTTAGTGGTGCCTGGGTGATGTCCTCCAGCTTTTGACTGGCCCTCCAATCGAACCTGTGGCCCGCTTTTGTTCTGGCTGAACAAAAGACCCTCTCCATCACTAATGGTCACATTTGATGAGAGCCACTTGGAGTATGCGTAGTATGGGATATTGGCTTCCGCACCAAGAACCAGACTCCCAATTTTCAGCCCTCAGACATCTTTGTTCTGACAATCCAGTCATTGGCATCCTCCTCATCGGACGGATGCTGGTGTCCTGTCAGGACATTCAACTGGTACCTCAATTGGACAAAGGACATCCTGGGGCCAATCTCACAACTATTCATCACCACTACCAGGCCTTACTGTCCAGCCTCCAAAGATACAGTCACTGGGTGGGTGGTTTCCGCCATTAAATTTGCTAACTCTGACTAGCCAACTAGCCCCGATGATCTATGATGATGCCTTATCCACGCCCATGATGTCTGGGCTGTTTCCTCTTCCTGGGCTTATTTCAAAGTGGTTCCAACTATGGACATTTGTAAAGCTGCATGTTCGAAATCCCCCAACATTCACCTCTTGTTATCTCAGTGATGTTTTGCAGGGGTACCACTCTCATGCATTGGCCGTGCTTGGGATGGCATTGCAATAGCTCCACTGCTGGCCATCCTTTACCGCTGCAGGAGGATACACTTAAGCAAGCCTGTGGTGAGTCTGGGTTACACCCATCCTCTTATTTAGTGTTGTTTATATTCACTCTTTTTTATATCATCCCGTGGTGTGTCTTTATTTTTGTCTGGCTCACTTTAATTCCTTCCTTATCTTGTCGTGGTTGGGGCTAAGGTGTTGGTAGTGTGTCCTCGCCTCCCCATCATCCTTTGGTGCGGTGCTACTCTGCATATGTATTGGTAAACTGCCTAGGTTACAGGCAGTAGACTCTTCACCCACCTAGAGTGGATTTAGTCTACTACTGTATACACATACCTACTAGATTACCAACCTCCCTCCTCCCCACTCAGCCTCTGCACACTCTGCGCTTGAAAAAGAAGAAGACCATAGCGGCCACTTGCGCGGTAGTCGAGAGAGTGGGGTCGCACTGCCAGGTGATTGAGAATTTAAGGAATGGAGTAATGGACTAGTAAATAATGCATATGTATTAGTAATCTTGTAGGTATGCAATAGTAGAGACTCAACCCGGGGGGGGGGAGAAATTATGGATACATTACCATTTACATGGTCAGAATAAAGGGCTGTTGAACTGTACCTTGAGCTGGAAAAGCTGCAGGCTTTTACAGTAAGATTTCTCCTTGGTTTCACCATTAATGATGAACATATTTGACTACTGTTATAATACATGAAGAATGGAGTATCGTTTTAAAAATTGAACCACACTCTCTCAGTAAGGTCTGATTTTTCTACTTATACAGTTTCCCATCAGAGTATATTGTGAAGATGGTACTACAAAGTTATGTGGGGTTCATCCCAGTCTTACAGTTCAAGATATGTGCGCATTAATGGTCTATAAAATGCACACAAGTGATGATAAAAGCTGGTCTTTGATAGAGGAGCTCACTGATATGGATTTAGGTGAGTGGCACCCTTTATCAATGGAATAAAGGCATTTTCTTCATAGGATGTCCTTAGTAGCAAACAGACAGTGCTGAAACATGGGCTGCAATTAGATTCAGTTTACTAGGGGTGTCAATATGGATATACTAGCACAGTTTTAAAATGTGTTAGTGTAAACTTTAGAGCAGGTTGATGTACAGGTCAGTGTGAGGGAATATTACAGGGTCATCATCAAACACCCCATTGGCTACCTGGTAGGGCACTCTTTGCATACGTTTGCTTTAGAATAGCTAGATCATACTATTGTAGATATGGCTTAAATAAGAAGTCAAAGAACTCATTAGATCTCCATAAGATGAGGCCCGATGATTTCTTTTTATGTCTGATTGTACCTAGTGAATACTGCACATTGATTACTTCACTTTGCCAGATTTCCTTTTTTTTCAAATGCAGAGAGAACATTAGAGGATCATGAGTTGCCCTCGACAGTATTCAAGAGCTGGCCACAAAATTCAAACAACAAACTCCACTTCCGAAAAGACTTCAGAAAATATGAAATCTTCCAAAATCCAGGGGTGAGTACTTTTGTGAAAAAAAATCATGGTATAAATGTATCAACATTTTTTACAAATCAATCCGACACTGAGGTACATTTTGGATTTGTTCATTTGACCTCTTCTTGGGTGACAGGAAGACCAAATTAGCATCAGAATTTTTCCAGTGTTGTGCGACATCTACACGTACATCTAGAAGCATGCCGACACATGCAGGCTCACTCAAGAGTTTAAAATGTCACAATGACAAACAGTATGACATCATTGGGTGTAGTGCAAAATGAGAGAGCTTGGCTTCAACTTTGGGGACTGAGTATCCTTCAGACCGTATGACGGCTGTTGATTGAATTTTTGCCGTGGAGGGATATAAACTTTGACTGTTAAGTTTTGGCTTCCCTGACTGTTTTCATTGTAGCACTCTCTACTCATGTAGTCCAACTGAACTAATCATTGTTATAAGACTGGGCTCAGAATGGGGTTTGTTGCCAAGACATAGCAGGGATTAAACGATGATTGATTTTGTAAGGATGAGTTTTGTCCGTGCACATTTTGTCCATTCGTTTTTCAATTTCAAATGAAAATCGAAAGACAATTCGTTTGATTTTCAATAGGCAAAGGAAAAAGGAAAATTGAAAAACCAATTGTATCTTATTTTTCCATTAGGAAGAAGGAAAAAGTTTTGTTTTTCTTGAAACGCTAAACAAAATATTAAACTTAATATCGTTTAAAGGTAGTGTGCACAATTTACAATACTGGAATTTTCAAAATTGGCCGATTTGGGGGTTTGTTATTTACATAGTGTTTTACTCTACAGACTTGTTTCATTTTTTAAATTCACTACCTCAAAAATAAAGAATAGTGGTATTCATTTCTAACACTCAAAGCGCAGCTCGTGTAATTTGTTTAGCAAAAATCCATGGACCACAGGATGTTCCCTAGTGCCTAGATTTGCATTGTTGAGGCTGAGTTGCGGATATTGCCCTCCAAAAGTGCATTTTTCCACTGCTTCTTGTAGTGCTAGTGATCGGAAAATAACACTTCATGCAGTTGACTGCAGTCACCACCATAACTGCACGACCACATGCACAACCAACCATACAGTCATGCTTTGCACATGTAGATGTACGTCGCTCAAAAACCATCCACACACCATCAGTACCCATCGTAAACACTTTATAAATCAACAAATATGGTAACTACCCTCACAGTTTGGGCATTAAATTTATTGCACTTTGAAAAACGAGAAGTTAGATGTCTCAAAATCGCAGATTTTGTTTGAGAAAACAGCCTTTGCCACAGAGCTCAAAAAGGAGCAGCCGTAATGCACAGTGCTTCTTTGTTAGGACAGTACAATTTTCTTGAGGGGTGAAAGTAAGATGGTGATATATTCGCGTAAGGTAAACTCCTTTTTCATAAAGACACCTTAATTTCAAACGATTCAAATTCTCTTTTAGCCAGTTAGTTGTGATTGTATCATATTTCGTCACTTATATTGTAATAATGTATTTATGTGTACAGAAGGTGCATGGGCATCTCTTCTTCTCTCCCTGTTAATATAGACTCTTCCAACAGCTACACATGTCACACACATTTTTGTTGTTCCCATTTATAATGCCGGCATTCAAACGAATTGTATTGTCCAAAGATTGTCCATCCGGCTGAACTTTTAAATAAGTACAGCATTTCTCTTTTCTTGAAAAATGACAGCATTACGGGTGGGAAGATTCCATGGATTCCCTAACTCTTATTATTTACAAACTGTACAGTAAGATGTTTAAAGATGATTCAACCGTCCCATTTTTGCAAATCATGTAAACTGCCTTTTAATTTTATAACAGATGCCCAACACTTCCTTGAACAAAGTATTATGTGTAAAATTGAGATCAGTATGCAAACGAATACACCTAGTTTTCACAGATATTATCAACAGTTTCCAAATATCGTTTAAATGCCATGACTTTGGAAAGTGTCAGCCAGTTTCAGAAATTTTCAGAATTTAGTTATGTGACCATATTTACATGTAGTCTGAGAAGACGGTTTCTTAAAATAACAATGAAAAATAAAACTACTTGTATTCTTCAAAAAGTGCATTGATAGATCACCATGTTAGTTTTCACTTCAAACCACAGTCCTCCATCGCTCTTCATTGGGACATCCAGGTGTGACCGCCCTTGCCATGTTTTCTAGTGTGGTCTCGGTGGAAACAAGGCAGGCCACGCAAGCACGATGCAGACCACAACTGTCAAGACTTCTGTTTACCGTATGTTACTCCGTCGTCCACCCATTCAGGGCTACGCCTCTGCCTGGATCCGACCACTCTTCGGGACCTCCAGGTGTGCATTAGAAACACACACCCACACGGCCACCCTATGTCGTCTTCTCGAGCAGCCTTCTGGTGAATGCGAGCCTGGGTCACATATACTCAATGCTGACCACGGCTCAAACAACAGCTGCTATCACTACACGACGCATCAACCCGCTGGCCATGAGACTCCCGTGCCGGGGGCCACCTAGGCGGGAAACAGAGAAGTGTGTTATCTGGGCAACTCCCCACTATTTTCTTTGGCTATACCAGTGAAAAGGATACGAGACTACGTATGACCAGCCTACTGCATTTTTTTCCGGAACTCTGTTTTTTTTGGGGGGGGGGCCTCAAAAGTTGACCCTTGTGAATCGTGCGAATCCGTTAAGAAAATCGGGGGTACAATATATTAGGGGACGGGATCAAAAATACAGAGACCGTTCGCACGCGTCTGCATACGTTCCCTTCCATTCTGCACGCCTTCCCGTTCACCCCCGTTCCAAAGAGCACTTCGGAACGCGTTTCTGCCGTTCGCATGCATGAGTGATTCAGAGAGTATTGTTATGTTAATTGGCCATTCCTGTGTGTGCGAGAACGGCAGCGTCACAAGAAAGATGCGAAGAACAGGCATACAAGCTTTTCTTGAGTCTTGGCTAAATAAGTGTCGACAGTGTTTGGTCCAATAAGATTTTTTTCCGTCCTCTTAGAAAACGCTCATGTTGTCCCTTTGATGTTCTGACTTTCCGCATTTTATACATTCTTCATAAAAACCATCCCCTTCGAAGTTCTGATTAAAAAAAAGGCGAGGAGGAATGAAATATATTTTGACGGGTTGGGTGCTTGGAATAAGAAAAAATGTGAACAGGTACAGGAAAAAAATAAAAACCACGCGTCGTCTTGGTTTGGACAGAAAAAACACCAAGGAGGAAAGAATTTATATATTTGATGGGTTGGGATAGATGCTTTTAAAAAAAAATGCAGTGGTGCCAGGAAAAAATAAAAACTACAAGTGGTCTAGGTGTGGATAGAAAATAAATGCCGAGGAGGAAAGAATGAATATATTTGATGGGTTGGAATGGATGCTCCGAAAAAAATGCAGCGGTGCCGGGAAAGAAATGAAAACAAGTGGTTGAGGTGTGGATAGAAAATAAATGCCAAGGAGGAAGGAAAGAATATATTTGATGGGTTGGGATGGATGCTCCGAAAAAAATGCATTTTATCTTTTTAAGTATTTGGGTCACGCAGGCTCTGTTTGAAGATGCCGTTCGGTAGGATACACTTGAGGATAGGATACAGAGTATACAGAGGATACAGAGTAATGCCACTGTTGCCAAGAAATAGTATTACCAAGGGAAAACCTGGGCCCCTTCAAGTCGCCGCTAGCCAGACTTTGTTGTACAGCCTTTGATAAATTAAATAATGTTCCTTCATCTCCTTCTCTTGGCATTAAATTAGGCCTATGGCAAATAGCATTTTCCATGCCTTAAAATTCATAAACAACTTCTGCCACAAAAATTTAATCACCTTCCGGAAGAAAAGATATTCTTTTGAACAGCCCCAATGAATATATTTCTTATAATTACACCGTGATAAATTGCAACAACTTCCCGTCCGTTCTCTCTTTTTTTTTTGGAAGTCGTGTGTCGTCGGTAACAGCATGCCGGTATACACTGGGACAACTACAAATGCCTCGTTTTTGAGCTACATACTGTACATGTACATGTACAGTACATACATGCGTTAAAAACTCACTTGTTGGGCGGAGACAGAGCTGACATGCGGCGGCTTTTTTGTGTGTGTTGACCAAACGGTTAACGGCAAACTGAAAAGTTACGATTAAACATAAATTCCGACCCTTAAAATCTGTGAAGCACAAGTATCGTTGGATTGTTTTTTAAATGTGCAAAAGCAGGAATATTCTTTTTGCTGGAGGTCCTTAAAATTAAAGATTAAAAATCTTCAAAAAGTGCAGCCAATTTGGGGCTGAAATGTTTTTGCCTAAATCTCAATGACAAAACTCTGAAATGGTAGAATAAATTTGTGAAGGCTATAATATGCTCTGATAGGGAGGGGTACAACATGGAATGAAGTATAATGCGATCGGCAGAGCTCAAAATCCTTCCCCTAATTCTAGTGCAAAGAGTGCTGACATCGTAAGCGCTTAATGTTTTTTCTTCAAGTTCAGTATTGGCACGCTCTACATACCAAAAGTAAATAATGGCACGATCGGCTAACCTCAAATGCTGGAAAGATCTTTCTACTCCATAACAAACACACCCCCCCTCTCAAATCTTTATACAATGTATATCTTTTTGCTGATAAGAAGCAAAGTGTTACTTTGTGGAATGCAGCGTTTAAGTACTCTACATCAGAGAATTAGAAAGAAATGTCTTAAGCAGAAGAGTGGCCCAACATTTAATTTTCCCCGTTGTTTGCTGTTCACGGATAATTTTATTTCCTATCCATGGACGGTTGTTAGAACACCATTGTTGTTTCAGGGACTTCACATTTTCTTCGCATAGGTTTTGTGCCACTATGGGGGCCACAACATCTTGCTGTGTGCTCAGACCGTGACGGGTCTTTTGTTGTAGAGGAACGCAAGGGAACTTGAGGGCCGTTCTCACGCATGCAGAGTGGAGGAGCTTGAACAAAAGAATGCGTTCCTGGCATTGGCACGCGTGTGAACGGTCTCTGTATTTTTTATTCCACCCTAAATATT